GATATTGCAGAGAACACAATTCAGACATGGTGCCAACCCAAGTAGGGAATTTTTATTATGTCAGAATCCCTTAGAGGCAAATGCTCAGAGGCAACTAGCTGTTTATATCAGAGTACAATCAGAAGAAGAATAATTCCCCATGAAAAGAATCCCACACATGAACAATTTATTTCCACTATCCATCATCTGTCCTGGACTGACATTTATATATTATTGCATGCTCATGGGAAGTAAAGGGAAGGGTCATTAGCAAAGTAAGGGAAGAACTGCTCAGACTTCATTTTAGAAATCCTGGTAACACTCTATGAACGAATGAGGCAATGACTAACGCAGGTTAGACCGTTATTACAGAAGCATTTCAACACAATTTAAGATGAGGAACCTTTAACAAGAGTCTTTATAAGGTACAGAAAATACAACAAATGCCTACTAAGGATTCTTCTTATTTACTGGAAATAATGTATTAGGCTACTCTGACAGATAGAGACTCAGATCACAAAGACCCAGGAAACCTTGATGTGGTTAATCTGACCTTTATAAGACCCAAGGCTCCAGACATGTGAAAATCATTACAAAAAGCTAGACTAGGCCTTGGCGTGAACCTTTTCAATTTTTGAATATTGTTTTCAAGACTTTAGCAGCAGGAAACACAGAAGACAAGATGTGGAATGAAGCTCTGCTTTTTGGTTGTGGTGCTGTAGGTTAAACAGGTCACTGGGAAGAAAAGATTACCCAGAATGCAGCGCTCACGGAGAAAAAAAAGTGTCTCCTCTGTAAAGAGGAAAGCCACTGGGAAAAGGAATTTCCCGCAGTGTTAAAATGACCCCAGGAAGCAGGCCCCCCCAATGGTGAGGAGCGATGGATGTGCATAAGGACTGAAGAGGCCTGAAGGCTTCCATGGACTTGAAATATCTGCTTGTACTTCCCCACGGCAACCCCAGATACAATTGACAACGGGGAACTGGCTCAGTGATTTTTCTCTTGGACCTCAATGCTACTCGTTTGATTTAATGACAAACTGGGAGAAAGGATACATACCATGACCTTAGTTAAAGGAGTGTTGGGGAAAAAAAAATTAAAGACAGATTTGTTTTTCTTCAGCTCCTTAAATATCAGTTGGGGATATGATTTTAGCATACATTGTTCTTTAGGTGCCAGGGTATCTGATTCTTCTTCTTTGACTGGGTCTATTTTGCAAGTTAAATGCCTAGAAATGCAGGCTATTCTGGAATGTTCTCTGAAGCTATAGATGTGCTTCTATTAAAAAAAGAAAGAAAGAAAGAAAGAAAGAAAGAAAGAAAGAAATTTCGTAGCTGCTTCCTCCCAAGCCTATGAAAAAGTAAGGCATGACTAGACAACATGTACACTGGGTCAGATAAAGAATTCACACTTATGAAGATAACATTAAAGGGACAACAGGGGGCTCTACTCTCAACCGGAATTAATATCTGCTAAAGCAGGGAGCCCAAAGGGGTATTTAGCTGGTCTCTGAATCATCTATTAAATAGGTTTTAAATGCTATTTGATTAGCACCTGCTAGCGTCCATATGATACAAGAATTCCAGCTAAAAGGCCTCAACATGATTAATGTTGATTTGCCTAGTACCTACAAGTCATAAATAAAAGTGTTCAGAATCTCCACTAGTAGTATTAAGCTCTCATACTTTGCTTGCAAATGTCCTGGGACCATATTAATAATTCTTTGTGCTCCCTCCTGAGGGCTGCCTCTTCTTTTTGCTGTTGGAAGAACAGTCTCCATTTTTATTTGTTTCCAAATGGAAATCCCTTGGCATTCTATCACACAACAATTTCATTAGATTATGCTCCCATGTGGGTTAAACATTATCCCCATTCTATCTAGAAAAACCTTAGCTATTGACTTGCGTTTCCTTGAGTTAGCAGAAGAATTAATATTGCAATATGTGGATAACTAACAGACTGCTAATATCACACATAAATGGTGCATTATTAATAATCCTTAAGGTACTGAATTGTCTGAAAGAGGTTAAATACATATTATCAGAGAAAAGGGCTCAAAATTGTCACCAGCAGATTGTATATAAGATTAACTACTTCAAAGTAACACAAAGAAATTCTACCGGATGTATAAAAGGTCTGTTGCTTACCTAACAGTACCTACTCTCAGTGATAATTATTGATGTTTGGTGAAATGGCAAGGTTCTATTTTATCTGTAAACAATATTTTGTCTCATGGCTAAGCCTCTGCACTAGGCCCTAAAATAAGCAGCCTGAGAACATATGGGCTAAATGACCAAGGGTCAGCAAGCTGTTGAAACTGTGAAGATTAGACTAGGCTAAAAAGCCACCTTTGGGTTCAACAAACTTGGATGACCCTTTTAGCCTAACGCTATGGAAAACATAGGCATAAAACTCAGTATTCTTTCTTCAAAATTGGGATTTACCTCAAGTCTCAGTGGCATAATTTTCAAAGCAATTAGTCTAAAGTGATTGGATGACCACTCGGTCTGAGAGCAGTTGCTGCTACATGTGACCTTACACAAGAGGCTGAAATGTTTCATTTGGGTCAGCCCACGATAGTGTATGTCTCTATAATGTAACCACTCAATTAGAACAACCATGTGTGATAGAAGTGGCCAGAAAAGACCTCCTTGCCTTATTTTGAACCATGGGTAGAAAGTATGACATAGCTCACCAGGGAAGACGGTAGTAGTGTGTAATATCTACAGCCACCCTTATCAGGTAGATGCCTTGTATTTCCAGTCTAGATCATTGAGCATTTTTTGAAATTATACAAGAGTGTCGACTTTTTGCTAGGTGTTTTTCTACATCAATTGAAATGATAATATGTATTTTTAAATATTGATAAAATATCAGTCCTCAGATATTAATCCCATCTTTCAATGCTGTGAGAAATGCATCTGGGTCCTGTTGTACAATATTTTGTGTGTTGCTGGATTCTGTTTGCTAGTATTTTTGCAGAGGATTTTCATTCAAATTCATAAGGGATACTGATTGTTAATTTTCCTTGTTAACAATGTTTATGGTTTAGCATCAGGTAATACTGGTCTTAGAATAGTTTGATGAATCTTCCATCATTTATCTTTAAGCTTTATTTATTTTTAAATGATTTTATTATTGAGAAGATATATCTCTATAACTCCCAACTTGCCTTCTACCCTAATGCTATTGTGTGCCCACCTCTCCCTCCTAAATTCACCATTTCTTATTTAATTATTATATTACAAATTATCTGTAATTTGCTGTTGTTGTTGTTGCTATCAGAGTTGAAGCCAGCTGTATTAGTTCCTTTTCTGCTGCTGTGATAAACACCATGACCAAGGCAGCATACAGTAGGAAGGTTTGTTTGGATTTACAGTTTCAAAGGGTTGGGAGCCGTCGTGACAGGGACAGCATGGCAGAGGACAGCCGATACGGAGCTGGAAGCTAGGAGCTGAGAGCTCTCATCTCACACAGCGAGCACAGAACAGAGAGAGCAAGCCAGGAATGGAAGGAGCGTTTGAACTCTCTCACAGTCCAACCCCGTGGCCTCTTCCTCTTTCACGTATGACTGGCGACAAAGCCTCTGTTCTCTCCGAGTGAAGTAATTTCGGTTATCGCTCCTTTTGTGTGGTCAAACTCACTAAAGTTTGTAGATTTGTTTCTCTTTTCGAGCAACAAGCTTTTGGTTCAGCGGCAAAGATTAAGCGAATTAATGCTACAAGTTTATGTATCGTCTTTCTGTTCTGTTCATTAGGCTATATTTGCATCATTCTTCCTTCCTCCCACAAGATTTGCATCGGATTTTCTCATATTTCAGAATCTAATATAGAAGTTCATCTCATTGATTTCAGAACTTCATTCTTCACCACTCTGGGCCTGGAGAGCTCTAAATCGCCTTGGAAATAGGTTTTAGCTGCATGTTGAAAGATGTTTTGATTTGTCATTCATCTCATGGTATTTTATGATTTAAATTCTGATTATTTTTTAACTCATTCATTATTTAGCAGGCAATAGAATAGTAGTATTTATCATGAATTCTGTTTTCTGAAATTCCGTACCTGACTGTACCTCATCTGCACTTTATAAACACATCAACCATCAGAGCACATGTATTAACAATCAGTTCACTGTAGTGTTCCTGGAGTGTTGAATCCATAGGCTTTAACATTTCTCTGGAAAAATCCTAATATATATTTAGTTTACAAAACTATTAAGGAGATGAAGCCTTGTTAAATTCAAATTTTGCTCTCTTTTTTCCTACTTTATTCTCTAGCATGAAAAAAAATGTATTCATATTCCTTATCTATGTTAGGATCAATAATTGCACTCACTGGCTTCTCTCTTCGTATTTCTAGGTACAGGAGATCAAATTGTCCCCACACCTCCTGCTGAGGGATGATCTATATAGATACTGATCTAGTTATCAGTATTGGGAAGCATTTGGTAGGTAACTCTCATGACCTATTTTACAGCCTCTAGGGAACAAACAGCATACTTAGGTGTCTTACCTGCCCCAGGCCACCATTTACCTTTTTCAAGTTCCCCACTCAAGGACCCAGAAACAAGAGTTAGCGTGAAGGCTATAGTTGAAGAAGCGTGAGCGAGAGAGCCGGTCTCCAGAGGTTTGTCCTTAAATCCACCACCTTTCTGCATAAGGTAGGTGAGGTGGGCAACAGGAAGGTGGCCACAATACAAGCATTGCTGTGATATTATAGAGGAAGACAGCCCTAGTAGACTACACTGCTGTCACTATTCAGAGAAAGAGAGCCCCAGTACCCAGCACTGCCGTTAGTCGTGTTTGAAGGAGAGTACAGTGGACATCACTCACAGTTTTGCTCCAGAGGAAGATAGGCTCAGTGTGCAACCTTGACGTCAGTATTGTTTCAGATACTCTTCTCTGAAATAACTGTCTTAAATGTCTAAACAAAACCCAGTTTCAAATGATCATGTCTACTTTTAATGCAGCCAGACTCCTCTTAACAAACATTCTGAATGATTTCTCCTGCAGATTTGGTCAAATGGAGTTATTTTCACTATGGACCAAAGCTGTCTTCATCACCTTGACTTTTGCTCTTTATTCCGGTAAGTTTTCACACTTGGGAAGACTGCCTGATGTGCTGCTGTAGGAAGATAGGACTAGAATGGTTGTATGGTTGTTTTATTGCCTTTTCGTTTATTTTGTTTGTTTGTTTGTTTTGTTTTTTGAGACAGGGTTTCTCTGTGTAGCCTTGCGCCTTTCCTGGAACTCACTTTGTAGCCCAGGCTGGCCTCGAACTCACAGAGATCCACCTACCTCTGCCTCCCGAGTGCTGGGATTAAAGGCGTGTGCCACCACTGCCCGGCCGCCTTTTCGTTTCTTACATTGGTAAAATAAGAAAAAGCAGGTTATAAATTCCTTCTAAATACCATGTGAGAAGCTGCCTGTCTTTTTTCCTATGGTGGAGAAAGAGAGACAGAATGCTGGTTTACTGTGTACAGTAGAATTTAGTACTTTGCACATTACTAAATTCAGGAACTTTCGACTGATTTTTACAGTTGATATTTTGGGGAGATTTTATAGCCTGCTTGTTAAATGCAAAGTGCAGGGAAGGAATCCTCTTTTCTAGGTCTGGTATGCTTCACCCCTCTGAATTGTTGCTTTCAGCTGCCAACCCTGAAATCAAAGATATGGATAAGGAAAGAGCTCTTGACACCTCGGGTGATACTGCCTCTCTATCATTAATATTTCATAATGAAGTAGATGTTAAGTACTGACAAATATCTTGATAACAGAAGACAGAGTTCTAAAGTCACCCTTTGTACAGCATCTTCTTCTATCCTAATTAGGTGTATCTGCTGTAAATCTTTTAAAAGCTGGCATTTTCACGTTTGTTGGAGACTTCACTGGAAGTTATTGAAAACATAAATAATTTTTCACGGAGCTGCATGTGCCTGGCTACTAACTGTTTTTCTTAATTATGTAGATACGTTTGAGAATTTTGATTTTTGCTACTAGCATAGAATTCTCATCCCATTGGTGGGACCTCCTGGACTGGATCACTGAGGCACACTTCTGCCACTGTTGTGTCTGTGGTGTGCTTCTTTTTAAAACTGTTCTTGTTGTTGTAGAAACCGCTTTCTCAAAATATTCCACATTCGGAATGCAAGTAAGTTACTTGGAATTTGAAATATGATTTTAAATGTTTGTCAAGTTTTGGAATCTCAGTAAGACTGTCTAAAGTATACAGGGTTTCAAAAGGTAAAAAAGAAAATACGGTTTATGCGTGTATTATTATACCAAAGTCAAGTAACACAAGCAAGTGAGCAGTATAAAACCACATTGGTATGATCTAGGTATGATTGAAATGATAATGTGTATAGAAATGTATCTAGAAAAGCCATTGGCAATTATTAGCTGCTCTTTACAAAACTGAGATGCAAAAGCATACTCTAAGTAAAATTGTTCATCCTAACAAAGAGAAATAAAGTAGCATACCAATTATCAATATTTAGGAGAATAAATAGTAATGACCTCTATTTTATATATATATATATATGTCAGTGTGTGTATAGATGTATCTGTATACATATATATACATAATATATCACATGCTAGAAAATGTATGCATATATATTCTGTATTGTACTATATCATATTATGGTAGAAATAAACTCTACTTTTAAATGTCAGCATATATAAAGGTCACAAGGTTATGTTAAAAACAAATAATATACAAACACAACTAGCATTCCACCACACAAAACTGTCAAGATTTCTAAAGCTATATAAACTAAGTAAATGTAGTGAATATATGAATATTAATTAGCAAAAATTTGAAGAGAGATGGAATAGTAAACCACACATCCGACTTCATGCTTTTGTTAAGGTGGTGGGAGTGGTGAAGATCTAACCTGAGAAGGGGAGGCCATTGGAGAAGGGGGGTGGCCACAACATTATACAAACACAGAGAGAAGGCGAGGCCATTGGAGAAGGGGGGTGGCCACAACATTATACAAACACAGAGAGAAGGCGAGGCCATTGGAGAAGGGGGGTGGCCACAACATTATACACAGAGAGAAGGCGAGGCCATTGGAGAAGGGGGGTGGCCACAACATTATACAAACACAGAGAGAAGCTGCTGCCTTCGCCCACACTGGTGACAGCACTTCATTAAATAAGTGGGAACTGAGAGCAAGCACTGGAAAACCACTGCTTTAGTAAGTACAGAACAGAGCTCTTCAGGAAGGTTCTTCATTTAAATGGCAATTCCACAATGGCCGAGATTATGACTTAAAAACATTAGTGAACTTCATTTCTCAAAGATTTAATAACATCCAACTTTTTAGTTTTAGTAAAACTTAGTTGGTCATTTTAAAACTTGTCAGGTTGTAGATAAAAAAATCGGTTGATATTGTTGTTGAGGTCTTGACAAAGGATAATATTAGCATGACTAAAGGACTCGTGATAATAGTGTACATACTTAATACCCATATATCTAAAATATGATTAAAATAGGTGTCAGTGCTGTAGAACACCCACACTGGACCCACTGGCTTCTCTTTCATGCTTTGTTATGATTAGAATGAATGGTGTGCTGCAGATTTTCACTATCTTGCTTTATAAGTAAATATTTGTAGTCACAAATTTGAGACTTCTTTACTAAGTTTCATAGCTGGCCAATGGCCAAATTTGTATGGTCCCTAGGCCAAGAATAATTTTTAAAATTTGTAGATAGAAAAAAATACAAAAGGTTTTTCTTTGTATGTGAACCTTATAGAAAATACAAATTTCAAAGTCCAAAAATGAAGGGTCGAGCCACACTCCCTTGTTTGCATATTATCTGGATGCTTTCCTACATCATGGCAGAGTGAAAGCAGCACCAAAGACCACTGGCTCCCCAAAGTCTGATTTTCCTACCTAGCCCTTTATAGAAATGTCCACTCAGCTGCTCTATGGTTCAGATAATAAGTACATATGGTTCATCTCAATATCTACAGTATATGACCATAAGTAAATATAATTCAAAACATAATAAAGAACAACAACTTAAGGTTTGGCTTTATATATCTCAATACATTTATGTTTATTTACCTGACATCAATTTTTTAACTTTTCTGTTCTAGTTTGTTTTTAGAAATTGAGTAGTCTGTGTTCTCTAACCGTTGATAATATTGCCAAAAGAATAGAATGCCTTGGAGGACTTCTACAAAAGTATTGAGACTACTTTATTAGTTAGGATAGTGGGTGTGTAGATATTTGTTTTTGATCCTAAATATGCATTATGCTATCTCTTGTTGAATGTATGATATATCATATTTCAATAATATTGTAACCAAATGCTCACTATTAAATAATTTTTACTGTATTTCTCTTACAGATAGACTGTCAACCCTATGCAAATTTTCATGACATGTGTACCAAAGAGTATTATCCAATCTGTGCAAGTAATGGGAAAACTTATTGCAATAAATGTATCTTCTGCAATGCACTGAGGTAAGAATGCAGCAGTAAATACTTGGTCTTCCAGTCATGAATGAAGCATTACACAATGATAATAAAGATTCATATTGTTGGTGATCTAGGCACATGGGATGTAGCAAAGTTAGCTATGTTTTATAAAAGCCAAAGAAATGTGCTTCTAGCTCCTCTTAAGCGTATTCCTTGTTAACCGTCAACATATACATGCTAAGTGTTCTGCAGATGTGTAAATGGATTAATTTAACTTAATTTGCTGAATTGTAAAGTACTAGTGGTTGAGTAATAGCTACGATGATGTAATTCGGAGACTGTAACATTAACCAGTGTGTCTCTGTGATGCCACAAGAATCCGCTTTGCAAAATTCTAGCTACAGGCAGCATAACAGATCAAGAATCAGACTGAATGCTGAGCTTCACTGTGGACAATAAGCCAATTAACGCTCAAAAGAAACGCGTATAATGTCAACTTTGTCTCTTGAAGTTGCGATGTCCCTCAAGACCTTGCTCAGAGCACAGAGCCTTCTCAGCAGAGCTCCTGTCCCTCTGTCCTTCGTTCTAAGTGTTGGTTGTCTGAAGGCTCGTCAGCCTTCTTTTTTCGTTCCCTTGTGGGTGTATCTCCTCTTGAAAAAATTCAAATATTTGCCTGTTTGCTTCCAAAGTTGTACATGCCTCTTGGCAGACCTGGAATTCCCTCGAGCTCTTCTTACATGGATCTGGTGTGGCTTTTGACTGAGAGCTGTCAAGGACCGCCACAGTAGCGAAAGGGCATATAAAGGAGCAAGGAAGCAAGCGGACACAGCCGCTTTTAGAATAAATCATAATCTCCAACTTGTCCCGAGTTCAAATCCTCACTTATAAATATTTGTATAAGCATGTAAATTATCCAAAAAGTGTGATTAACTTTTAATGATTTTTTTTTCCTTTTTCCTTTTGATTCTCCAGGAAAAGTGATACTGTTTTCTCATTTTCTCATTATGGTAAATGCTGACATTTTCTGGAGCTAAACAACCCAATGGCCATCATTATGGTACCTTTCTGCAGTGAGTTCTAAAATTAGAATTTCTTGGTCAAAGTCTTCCATGCATAGAAGACCAGATGAATCACACTATATGACAGAGGATTAAATACTGTGCATTCAAGGTTGCTCTCAACAATAGGAATCTATAATATTTCAGAATTTCTATTTCCTATGTTCACTAATAAAATGACAATTTGAAATCTCAATGTCCAAGCGGGGTGTGATACTTACCCGTACAATCCTAACACTTTGGAGGCTGAGGCAAGACTCATTGATGTGAGTCTGAGCATGAGCTACAGAGAAATTTGATCACAAACAACAAAACCCTTAGCCTAAAGTTATGTTCAATAATGTAAGCCCTGATTCAATTTAAAGCTCTAAGTATCTAAATATTTTGCTGAATAAAATGTTAAATACTTTAAAATAAAGTGTTATTAAATGTATTAGAGTGGTTTTTTTTCATTTGAGTGTATAATGACTTAAGATACATTTTAAGGCAGGGTGGTGGTGGCTCACGCCTTTAATCCCAGCACTCAGGAGGCAGAGGCAGGCAGATCTCTGTGAATTCGAGGCCAGCCTGGGCTACAGAGTGAGTTCCAGGACAGGCTCCAAAGCTACACAGAGAAATCCTATCTGAAAAAAAGACATATTTTGGTACCCGTTATCTTAGAGATATTCCCAAATATCACATTACTTGAGAAATTTTTAAATAAATGAGACATCTTAGATTCTCTTAGTTCTCAAGTTTCAGAACATCCAGAGGGGGGTTTTGAGCAGTTCATAGTCTGAGAGGTCTCTCAGGTTAGATTCTCATGAACCTTGGAGAATCATGATGGTATGAGACATAGCTTCATCTCAGTCAAGGTAGAAAAGAAAGAGGCAAATAGCATGAACTCACTGGCAAAAACCTTTAGTTAGAGAGGGACGGAGGTTCAGGTTGAGAAAAATGGGACAATACCAATTTGAAGAGATTCAGGCTGCCAACTAAAAGGATAAGAAATGGGTCCTTTATCTGATCACTTATGTTCGCTGAGATCTCATAATTTTCCACTCATCCTCAGCATAAATTTTTTTAACATTAATAAAAATCAGTTTAAGGTAGCTCTTCCTTGAATAAGGTAAGTACCAGGGCCTGTTTGTCCTAGAGACATGATGGTGTTCCCATGTTAGGGGTGGTTTCTTCCCTGGGGTCAGAGTTGAGAATAGAAGGAAGCACATGTCACAGACTGGTAGCAAAGTTGGTTAGACAGATGCATAGTTAGTAACTCTATGTTAGCAACTCCTAGTTACCACTCTTCTGTAAGTGATAGAAGAGTGAATAAGTGCCTGAAAATTCTATCTGTCCCTTGTCCCTGTGAGGGTTTCTGTTTCAACCATTGACTTAGCCTCTAAGCTTTGGGGGATATATCTACTCACAAATGCATGCAGTTGCCATAAATCAAAATGAAAATATAGCAGGTAGAATAGAAATCCAATCATGAGTGCTCAGTTCTGGTGAGGATTGAGAAGGGCTGTTGTGTTATTGTACAGGGGGGGAACTATAAAAACAACAGCTGGGTACTATATATTTCAAAAATCTAGGAGCACTCTGAAGGTTTTCACTATAAAGTCATTATAAGTATGGTAATATATGTTTAACCGTTTTTAAAATTACTCAATATATAGATGTATTATGCAAACATCGCATCATATTCCATTATTTTGTACCATTTTATATTTTATTTATATTTCTGTTTAAAGGTAAATTAAGAAAAATATAGAAATTACAAGAGAAATTGTCTAAGGGAACAATAAGAACTTGTGGGAGGGGAGAGAGAAAGGAGGGCAAGAGGTATGAGATAAAATACATTTTATAGAGCTATCCTATGCAACACAGTCCCATATACAGCGAGTGCGCACGATGAAAATTTTAAATTAATTAACAAATACATATGTGTGTACTCATGGGACTCACGTTGGCTTCTTTTCTTAGTGACTTCTACCAATCAACCCATTTAAAGGCTAGGATGGCCATGGCGTTGTAAGCCAGTAACCTCAGGAGTCATTAGGCAAGGACTGTGGATTTAGCCCAGCCTGTGCTACACAGTGAAACCATTGACCATTGTGAAGCTTGGATATGGTATAGTGGTCATTTGGCCAGAGACAGGGTTAGAATTCAAGGATTTCAACTGCCAACACTTTCCCAAATGCCAAGCTGTGAGAAAGTTCAGTAAAGAACTCCACAGAATCCCAACTTCATGTCTCACTGTGCCTCCCACTTAATTCTAGGACTTATCAGATCATTAACTTTTATAACTTAGGACACTGCCCACTGTGGCCTCAATCCCCCCTCTCCCCCGTCCCCACCGCCACCACCTTGTTATCCTATCTCCATCCTCTAGCCAGGATTCCCTCATGCTGAGTGCTTGGCGACTCTTCTGGGACCTTTTCAAGCATACCACAGCCCTGACTTCTTAGAGACACAACAGGTTTTCTGTTTGGCCTGTGGAAAAGGACATTGGTAAAAAGTCTCCAGCGGATGATTGTTCCTGGATATAAATTTGTACTGTAGGTTTACAAACATCCCACCAGGACACTGGTATGCATGTCAAAACAAAACACCTAATAAAAATAAAATTTCCTGTTGAGTCTGCTAGGTGTAGGCATATCGGTTTTATTTATTTTAGTGTTTGTTCTAATTTTTCTGACAAAACCATGAAGTGGAGTTGTCTGGTCACCATTCTTGAAATTTATTTTTCTTTCCCCTTTTATTCTCTTGTTCCTTCTTCTCCAACAATTTGGAATTCCCCTCCCCCAGCCCTGCTTCAGTATTAATTGCCTTTTCTTTCTTTGTCCCACTCCTCTGGATACATTGGGTCGTGTTGTACTTAACTTCCTGCTGAGAGAACTACTAAGAACGAGTGAGGTGCATCTCGTGAGCTATTCTGCCGCCTCCAGGAGGAACACAGCCTACTGCTATGATTGATCTGCTCTGGGCTTTTGATCTCGTTCCTGAACAAGATTTTCAAGGGAAAAAACAATCTGAACTGCGGCTGGAGAGAAGCGGCTGAAAAGAGAAGACAAGGAAAACATTACTGTCCAGAGCTGTTGGTGTCTCTCCACTGTCTTTGCTGTTCCAGGCAGGGGACGGAGAGGTGGCTGGAGACTGTCCAGGAGCCTAGAGTTCCAAGGTCTTTCTTTCTAAAAGAATTCTGAAAATCTGGGGTTCCAATGTGGTTATTTCTTGAAGTGCAGCGAGCCTTCTGCTTAGCTGAGCTGGTGGCTGGGAGAATAGGTTCCGGGAGGGCATTTCACGTCTCCAGGGGGACTCTGCACTTCTCTTACCCGTGTCTTATTGATTTTGAGGATTGGTAAAAGAACAGAGGAAGATTCGTGTTAACCATATTAGGAATCTGGGATGGGGGTAGAGGGGGGTGAGGGAGGGGGTGGTCCCTTGGTCTGTAAGAAACTTTCCTTTGGAAATGTGTTATAGATGCTCTTAAATGATTGTTCCTCAGACTTGATAAAATGTCTTCCTCTTTATTATGGATCAAAATCGTTTTCATTCTGGCCTTGGTGTTTCCTCTTTATTATGGTAAGTCAATATTCTACTACTCCCTTTCCAGGCATATAATGCTGGAAGCATCCATTGCAATTCAGGAACAGATGGATTTTTACACTGGGGTTAGAAGCACCAAACTGGTGAAAGAAAAATTTCTTTAGAATTTCTTCAGAACTTATACCAATGAATCGCTTTTACTCCTGTCCTGCCTTAGAAGACTGGAGCATAGAACCTGAATTAGAATATGTAGCAGAAGCTGAGCATATCCGTGTGTGCCCATAAAGCCAGTTACTCAAAGGCACAAGGAAAGACAATTGCCAGCGGAGGTCAAGGCCAACTTGGACAAGACAGTTAGAGAGATGATCTCCTTTAAAAGCAATCTTAAAAATAATACTTTGGATTTTTATGTTGGTGTTATTGATCTTTGGTTAGAGATATTTACACTCATCCCATTTTGAAGGACGCATTCCAGCATTGCTAAATGTCATGTGTGAGCTACATGGTGTCTTCCAGATCTGGTGTTCCTTGACATTTTAATCGTTGTTTGTCAGCTGAGTCCTGTAAGTCAAGTTCTGTGCTTACAGAGAAAACTCATTGATTCTTCCACTGACACATCCTAAATTGTAGAATAAATAAAGGAATTGAGGAAGATTTAGATCCAAAATACTAACTCTTAATAATTATTTTTGGTTTTTTTTGTTTTTTTTGTTGTTTTTTTTTTTTTGTTTTTTTTTGTTTTTTTTGAGACAGGGTTTCTCTGTGTTGTGCCTGTCCTGGAACTCACTTGGTAGCCCAGGCTGGCCTCGAACTCACAGAGATCCGCCTGGCCCTGCCTCCAGAGTGCTGGGATTAAAGGCGTGCACCACCACCGCCCGGCATAACTCTTAATAATTATTAATCAAATTTTCTACATGTCTTTTATGCAAAGCAAATTAAGTGACTTTCTTACAAGGCATTTTCCCTCTGATTAGGCTCCTTCACATAGAAAGGAAAACTATGGTATCTTTAAAAGGAAAGTTTTAGAAATTAATTAACAATAACAAACATTTTCAGATTTGAAACCATTCTGCAAATACATTATTTTACTGCTACCACAATTCCTCACCTTACTTTGAAGATCATGAATAAGCAATTTGCACAGGTTACTTCTGCTAAGTACTGTATTTTTCCCTTCTTATTCTTGACTTTTCTTTTATCTGCTGGTTTCAGAAACTACTTGTGCATTTTCAACAGAAGCCCGTCATAAGGTAAGTTAACAGTGATTAATTTGTCAATTTTGTAGGAGCCAGAGGTGTTGAGGACACCATGAGAACTTGGCCCATAGAATCAACTAAACAGGGCTCATAGGGGCTCACAGGGACTGAAATGAAAATCATGGACCCTGCATGGGTCTGCTCTAGGTCCTCTGCATATATGTTATGCTTGCTAACTTGGCATTTTGTGGGACTCCTCACAATGGAAGTGGGGGTGTCTCTGATTCTTTTACCTGCTCTTGGGACCCTTTTCCTCCTAATGAGTTCTCTCATTCAACCTTGATATGTCATTGTCATTACACGAAAGACAAGAATGAGTCTTGCCAGAAGCTGGAGAGATGACTCAGAGGTTAAGAGCACTTACTACTCTTGCAGAGGAACCATATTTGGTGCCCAGCACCTACTTGACAACTCAAAACTATCTGTAACTCTGATTCCATGAGATCAACTGCCTCTTTTGAATTCCGTGGGCTCTTGCACATGTGTGGTGAACATATATACACCCAGGCACATATGCATACACATACATATACACATATGCATACATAATAATAGTCTTGCCAACACTATGCATTGTTTAGCATTATAGACACGATAAAATATCCTATTATCCAAAAATTCCATTAATGAACCAAATCCTTATTGTATACAAGTATCTAACATATTTAAAAAGATATTTAAAGTAGACTTGTTTATTCTAGCAAGGAAAGAAGATTGAAAGTAATTGAATGATATATTTAAGGGTGGATTAATCATAATTTTTCAAATATTAACACTATTATGTTATATAGATGTGAAGAACTATAGTCCTAAACAACTGAATAGATAAAAGTTACAAAGAAGTTGAAAGGCAAATTCACCAGAAAAAAAAAAAAAACTATTGTCTATTTCTGCAAATCACCAATACTTTCATTATCTATGTCAGTATAAGATCTTACATCTATACAAAGGCTCACATATATGAGTGTATATGTCTGTCGTGAATGGTTCAGAAGGGCAAGAGACTAAAAGGTAAATAAGTTTTATGATCTCTCATGACTTAAAATAATGAGAGATTTGACATAAATGTGAAGAGAAGTAGAGACAGGAAAACTCTATTCTAAAATTCAGATATTCAAATGCACGGCTTTTTAAAAAATCAGGTTTACCCTGTCCGTGTCCCACCGATGTGCAACTGGATGCCCTCGCCGACCACGGCTGTCCAGTGCAGCCTTGCCTGAGCTCAAAATGCCCAGCACTATATGCCCGGCACTGCCAGGCTCATCGAGGACATGGACAAAAAGCACTTGGTCCTACTTTGATGTGGAAGGACTTAAAGGTTTTTTTAAAGAAGCATTGATCAGTTTGCTGCATCAGTCTTGCATCAGACTGTGGAGTGCATCCATGTGGGCAAAAAGAATGGTGATATTCCTCGAGGAGTTTTTGTGGTCAGAGGAGAAAATGTGGTCCTACTAGGAGAAATAGAAAAAGAGAGTGGCCGGGCGGTGGTGGCGCACGCCTTTAATTCCAGCACTCGGGAGGCAGAGTCAGGCGGATCACTGTGAGTTCGAGGCCAGCCTGGGCTACCAAGTGAGTCCCAGGAAAGGCGCAAAGCTACACAGAGAAACCCTGTCTCGAAAAACCAAAAAAAAAAAAAAAAAAAGAAAAAGAGAGTGACATGCCCCTCCAGCAAGTATCTATTGATGAAATCCTAGAAGAACAGCGGGTAAAACTGCAGGCCAGACGGGAGGCAGAGGAGCTGAAGGTTCAGGCCCTTAAAGATCGGGGCCTCTCCATCCCTCGGGCAGACACTCTGGACCCAAAAGTGGTCTTAGTCATTCACATAGGCCACCATGAAGAAATCATGGGATTTTTTTTTTTAAACAAAATCATTGTATGTTTTGTTTTGCTTTTCTATTTCAAACAGTCTTGTTATATAGCTCTGTCTAACCTGAATCTCACTATGTAGAGCAGGTTGGCCTCTAACTTATGGGATTACAGGTGTGTTCCACCATGCCCAGCTTTATTGTTTAAAGAAACAGTGACATGACCCTCCCTCACACAAGTCACTGTGGAGCCAAGAATCACGTCTTTATATAGCTTTTCTTATCTCAGAGTTTACATTTCTTTCTAAAAGATATTTCTTCATTTATTTGTAAATAAAGAATGAATCCCATAAAAAGTAAAAATAAAAATCAATTTTATAAAAAAATATCAATAATATAATGTATTTGGGTCAGCAAGATTGTTTAGTGAATAAAGGTGCCTGCCTCCAAACCCCATTTCCTGAGTTCAATCTCCAGGGCCTATATGGTAGAAAGAGAGACTGATACCAGCAAGTTGTCCTCTGATCTCTACATGAATGTTGTGGCATGCATGTAGTTATGCCTGCATGAACACACACACACACACACACACACACACACACACACACACACACACACACATACACACCTGTGTGCACACACACGCACACATAACACAAAATAAATAAATGTAATTGTGTATGTATAACATATTTAAGTTTAGGCACCTCAGTGTTTATATTTAAACTGTTCTGTTGTGTGTCTTTTTTCCCCACAAAGATCACTATATGATAAATCTTGTATTGTCTCTTTATCTCTCACAGCCTGACTGTGAAATGTACAGAAAAGTCCCAAATAAGTGTACCAGGGAGAAGAATCCAGTTTGTGGAACTAATGGACATACTTATAGCAATGAATGTGTTTTCTGCAATGCCATGATGTAAGAACACATGATTAAATATTGGCTTTTCCTAAGTAATGAGGAAACTGTAAGGACATGATAGAAAACCCTGTTTCTGATAACTCAGATATAACATACAGACAGTAAACTCTGTTATTCCTAAGACCGTAGGAACTCGCTTGCACCCCTCCTTTAATTTCTCATTTGCAAAACTTGCTTTTTTATTTGACCCTTCAGTGTGACTCTGAAGAATACTCTGCAAATGTATCCACTGGTTAATTTAAATGAATTATTGATGAGCTGCTAACAGCATACTGGTAAACAAGATAACGTAATTCCAAATGCAGATGCTGAATAATAATGATCCTGCTGTATGAGCAGAATACTCAAGTATAGAACTCTGAAATCCATCACAATTGAATCTAGTACTAAGGAGGGATGTCTCTGGTGATCCGCTTTGTCTACTGAACTTGGGGACAGCTTCCTAACGTTCCTAAGGACCAGGGCAGTCTGGGAGCACTTCCTCTCTCCCTCCTCCCTGCCATATCATTCTGAATCACATTCTTTTATCATATAAGGAGCATGTAAAAAATTGCTTAATGAATGGTAATAAATTCATACATTTTTTTAAACTTTAATTCAGCTGTATTCCTACCTCACTCCACATTTTCTCTCTCCCAAGTGTTTCCTTCCATAAACATTTCTGTGTAGTTTATCTCCAAAATGTATTCAGCTTCTAGAGGAGAACTAAGACAATTTCTAGTCCTCTTCTCTTTTGGATTGAAGATAGTTGCAAGGCAGAGTCAGGACTGGGCTTTTAGGAAAAGTCAAGAACTCCAACATGAGAGATAGGACACGTGTGAGGGTGGAGAATTGGTGAGCTGTAGCTGCTGGTAGGAGGCAGCATCTCTGTGTCAATACATGCCAGAGCCTCCTTGTTGTACAGCAATGAATGCAATACAATTTACAAGTGCTAACTGAAAATGGTAGCTCAACTCTGTATTTTCCTTCTGACTTCTTTATTTCCAGATCTGCTAAAGATAAATTTGATTATTTGCATCATGGTCCTTGTTGAATTTTGTATGGGTCACGCATACATCCTTTTCCATAGTGGATCCTGCAATCAAGTAAAATTTTCTCAATTGGTGCTTCAGATTCCTAGCAACAAATGAAGTCTTCGGTGGTTCATAGAGTGGAATATAGGATATTAAAGAATTTCTCCAACCTGTGATGGAAGGATTTTATTTCAGTTATTTGACGATAGTGTTAAAAATTGTTATCTTAATTTTGTGTTTGATAATATTCAGTGTGATTGTAATCATAAATGTTTCATTCAATAAAATGTTAAATAAATTTCATCTTTATTAGGAATTCTTTATCTTGGAGGCAGATGGTTAAGGTAAATAAATACTTTTAGTAATCATAATTTGTTGATGCAAAATAAAATAGCTCTCACCTTGAAGGAAATAAGAGATATTTCTGGAGTCCTTTTGGGTAACTGTGAAAACAGATTTAGGTTACCCCGAATTCCATGATCCAACATGGAAGCAATTTCATAAAATTTATAGTCTTACAGAACAAAAAAAAATCACAAACCAAGGCAAGTTTAAAATAAATCAGTGGATACATCAGAGAGATGGTTACAGTCAGCAAGACTGGAGAAGCTTTTCTATAGGCTTCTGTGGAGGTTTGGATGAGAATGGCCTCAGAGGCTCATATGTTTGAATGGTTGGTCCACAGTTGGTAGAACATTTGAGGAAGGATTAGGAGATGCGGCCTTGTTGGAGGAGGTATGTCACTCGGGATGGGCTTTGAGATTTCAAAAGCTCATACTGTTCCCCTTAGCTCTGTCTCCCTTTCCCTCCCTTCTTCTCTTTCTGCCTTATGCTTGTGTATCAGACTCAGCTCTCAGATATCGCTCACCATCGTGCCTGCTTGGTGCCATGCTCCCCACCATAACGGTCATGAACTCTTCCTCTGAAATTGTAAGCAAGGTCCCACATTAAATGCTTCATTTCACAAGTTGCCTTGGTCGTAGTGTTTTGCCACAGCAACATCAGAGTAATTAAGTCAGCCTCAGATTTTATCTGATGACATTCTTAGTTTTGGGGGTTGGTGGAAGCTAGTAGTTGGTTAAGTTAGCAGATTTGAAAGGGGTTTCACCCATCAGTCACAGGATGTTAATTCTGGCACAGAGGTGGGCAAGGAATGGGTATGCAGGTGGCTAAAACTACCTGATATAAGGTAATTAGCCTCTGGACAGATGACATCCCAACCTCCGCACATCACTGTTTTGAATCAGTATTGCAGACACAGCTTCTTTCCAGGAATTATCATTCACAAATTCAGGAAGCATTTTCAAAAATAAATACATAAAGCAATATGTGAGTATTCATCAAGAGTGAAGATCTAGAATCTTCTTTATACTTAATGTGAACTCTAGTGAGATATCTGGAAACTTGAATTCTAGTAAGTACTTCCTGGTTAGTTATAGTGAGAACCTAAGAGTCAGGCAGATCCCTGTTAGGCAAACAGTCAAGGAAAAGAGGCTCCATGTGGTTTCATGTATATTCACTTAAACATTTAAGATGGCCATCTTCCTGATCCTTCTATCTTTCCAAGACAAAGACTTGGTGAGATGTATCCCCTGTTTGGTAGGCCTTTCTTGGGGTAGCTCTTGTGCTGAGAACCAATCAGCTTCCCTTTCTTTGTGTGGATTATCCAATCCCCTCTGACAGCCCACATCAGCCAATTCTGAGGGATTAGGAAGCCCATTGCATCATCATACATAATATTTTGGCTTTTTTGGACACCATAAGAGGTCCCATCTCCACCTTGGGGAGGATGCATCTGTGTATTTTGCTGTGCATTTGTATTTCAGCTTTCATTAAAATCTGGCTAAGTGCTGGGACCTGCTGTATAATATTATTTTAAGATGTGTTACTTTTGTTTAAGTTGCATTTGTTTAACTCTGTGAAGCTGTGTTACTTTACCTGTCTTAAACACCTGATGGTTTAATAAAGAACTGAATGGCCAATAGCGAGGCAGGAGAAAGGATAGGCAGGACTGGCAAGCAGAGACAATATATAGAAGGAGAGATCTGGGAGGAAAAGGAGAAGTAGCCAGAGAAGGAGGAGGACCCAGAGGCTAGCCACCCAGCAATACAGCAAGCCACTGAAAAAGAAACAAAGAAAGATATATGGGAATAGAAAAGGAAAAGGACAAAAGATAGAAGGGATAATTTAAGAAAAGCTGACTAGAAATAAGCCAAGCTAATGCTGGGCATTTATAATTAAGAAAAAGCCTCTGTGTGTTTATTTGGTAGCTTGGTGGTGGGGCCCCCAAAAGAGGAAAAAGAGAAAGAGTAAAAGAAATTCCAATGAGAGACCTTTCTTTTTCCTGCCTTTTTATTCTTTAAATCAGTGGAGAAGAATACTCTGTTCCTGTACCCCTAGGTGACCTCACTATGACAGAGTCAGTTGGGAGCCTATTCTGGATGAATACAGGGTCAGTTCTTGCTAAGACAAACAACAAAGGGTTTGGAGAGTGCCCTTGTAAACTTCCAGGGCCCCTCCGTTATCGTGGAATGAGGGGAAGGGAGATGTTAATAGCAGAGCCTTAGGCTGATTTTTTTCCTTCTCCATTCTTTGAAAGGCTAGCAAGAAAATGCTCCCCTGGGCCTTCCCTTCTAACTCCAATGCCTTGTACTAGAGAGCAAAAGAATTCTTCCAGACAGTTCTCACTGAAATTAATTACTGTAAGAACTTACTGAAAGTTCTTACTGTCCAACTGACACCCAGTCCTGTGGGCTGAAATTGGTGATGTCCTAGAGCTGGTCCCTGAACTCTGCCTTCAGGGAGACTACACAAACATACACCAAAGGAGAGTGAATTTTATTATTTCACCATAGTACACATAATCTTTTTAGAATGTTTCAATCTTCCCTTTTCACCTCAGTAGTTTGAATCAAAATGAAAGGGATTATTAACAAGGAGGTTAGGGATGTGCAAAAGTTCTTTAAGAAAGTCAACCATTTGGTGATATTAATGTAGTTTGATATTCCTACCAAAGAGTTGGGACAGAGATAGAGCTAAGGCCTGGCTCACACTAGAGTGTGATCACACTGCACAACCTGACTCAGGTGCTGGAAGGAGAGGTGCCTCAGATCCAGGGCCAAGGGTTGGATGGCTGGGAAGGCACATTGCCTATATCATAAAGGGGGAGAAAGGACAAAAACAAACACCCAGCTCCTTTTCTTAGAAAATGAGTGGGAGAGCACATTGCCTAAGATGGCATTGGGTCAATGTTCTTTAAGGACTCCTGAGCAGTCCTTAAACAGTCCAGAAACAGAAAAACCTTGGCTTTCTTTTAAACTTCCTATATCCCCTACCCTTTCTGCAATACTGAAAGAGAATGGACACAAGATCCAGGGACCCTAAGACATCAGGCTCTCTCCCTGTTCCATTTCACCTGGGGCACCACGTACAGGCCAAGAGTAGGGTACATTCCTCCTCCTCCTCCTCCTCGTCTTCTTCCTCTTCCTCTTCTTCTTCTCGATATTATAATACAATTACCTCATTTCCCCCTTCTCTTTCCTCCTTCCAAATCCTCCCATATACCCCTCCTTGCTCTCTTTCAAATTCATGGCCTCTTTTTTTCCACTGATTTTTTGTAAAATGCATATATGTTCATGTACGTCTATTGTGTATACATGTATATTCTTAAATATAAACTGCTCAGTCTGTATGATGTTATTTGTGTACATGTTTTATGGCTTACCATTTGACATTAGACAACCAATTGTTGTGCTTTTCCATTAGTAAGAATACTTCTCTTGTTCTCTATGTTCCTTAGTTGCCTGTGTAATGAGAAACCAATGAAAATGGTACCTCTGGAAGGCTGGCCAGGGTGAGCCACTAAAAGATCATGCCATTTGTAGCAGATCTAATACAAGAGGTTTACTGAGAGAGGGGAAAGAGAGAGGCTGTCTCAGAGTGGGGACATAAAAGAGAGAGACACAGATGCCCCAGCCAGCAGGGCTTCAACGGGTTCTCGACCACCCTAAGGACAGAATGATAGGGACAGGAGACACAAAGGAAATACACCAAGACAAGATTCTGATCAAGGTGCAACTTCATTTTTCTCTGGGAGGGTTTATATAGTTCCTGCAGGGTAGGGGGAGCAGGAAGCTGTTATCTGCATAGGGTGGGCAAGCTAACAGGATGTTTATGTAGGATGTTTACAGGGTGAAAGATCAAGGGCTCTGACTCAATGTCCTGTTGCTAGGCAACCTGACTGTAAGATGATCTAGTTCCCTGTCTTATGGGGGTCTGTATTTTTCCACTAACTAGAGATTCTGTCCTTGTCCCTGACACACAGACAGACAGACAGACAGAGAACAAGAAATCAAGAGAGCAAACTGTGACTGTTGGACCCTTTTAAGAGGTGCACTTGTTGCATAGGGGATGCGCTGCACCTGGAGGGGGCAGGTGATGACATAAGCTGCCCCCTCCACCACGGCCTCTGCCACCTCATCACTGAAAGGCAGGCGGGTAGGGGCTAACCACCTGTAATTCTTATGTAGTGTTGAGAACTCATGGTCTTCCCCCAGTCCACTTTGTCATGTCTATTGTTCTTGTCCTTGTTCATCTCAGGGACAATCAGTTGTGTTGATGAGACTTTATGGCTGTTGTTGCCGACATGAATCTAGCTAAGGCCATGGAAGCTATGGATATTGGAGATGAACCTATGACTACCACCCTACTAAACCAGCATACCCCCTAACTACATTCTAAATGTCTGTTCTTCCACCCACAGGTGATTTCTTTGTCTCTTTTTTTATTAAGAGATTTTCTATTTATTTTACATACCAACCACAGATCCCCCCTTCTCCCTCTTCCCGCTCCCCCAGCCTTCCCCCCAACGCTTCCCCCATTCCCACCTCCTCCATGTCAAGGTCTCCCATGGGGAGTCAGCAAAGCCTGGCACATTCAGTTGAGGCAGGTCCAAGCCCCCCTCCCTGCACCAAGGCTGAGTAAGATGTCCCACAGGTGATTTCGTATTGGCTGTTGTCAG